TTGGAGGTATCACACCAAATGTTTAAATACCTCTCCAGTGTCATTCACTTGTTCTCCACCTCAATGAGCCACTCTCTCCCCACCAACACAGAGGTCCTCACCTCTACCCTACTATCCCCAATCTTCAGCCAGTCCTTACAAGCCACAGCTCATACTCCAAGGAAGAGAGTTCTCCAAACTGCTGAAGAGTGGATCCCCAAAAAGCGTCGCCTGCTTGTCAGCAATGATCACATCAATACTGTTCTTGCATCATTCTGTTGTTGTAAGAAATGCCTTGATAACTTCTCCTTTGCTGACATTCTCAACATCACACAACCCTTTGCAGATCTCAATGAATGTGATTGCACCACCTACATCATCAACATCATGTCAGCCAGCTGTGTCTCAACACTACCTGAGTGCCACTTCAAGTTGCAACTCAATGGTTCTCCAGTGTGTTTGAATGCTTTCCAAAAGGTGCCAACCCTTTTTATTGTGGCCTTACATTTGTTATCCCACCTCACATTGCTGCTCTACAAGGCGCATGGTTTCAGCAGGAAGAAGTGGCGTTCTGCTAAACAGATTTTCATTTCTGGTGGCACTTATGGCTAACCAAACATCATTTGGTAGGCCAACCCAATTCATTGATGTTCACATAAGCTTTTCTGGTTAATGCAAGTGGTTAGCCATAAGTGGGTATTTGAGGTGGCATTTGAGATTGCCTTCCTGATGCCACCATCCACTTACCTATTTCTTTGACTTGGCGAGAAGTGCACTCTATGTGTGCCAATGCTCATCCCTCAACTGTTCCTGTGCTCACCTATTCTGCTATGCTCAAACACATTGCTTCCCACTTTGCCTATGTGAAGTTGCCTAAGAACTCATGCCTTGGCAAGTGCTCTGCTTGCATTGACTTTGCACAGCAACGCTTGAGAGCCAAAAGCCCTCTTGAGGCAGCACAGTTTGCAAGTGCATGGACTCACCACCTTGCACTTTCTTCTGCAGAACACCTCAGTTACAAGGACCAATGCCACCAAGCAACAAGTCGACCAAGTCTTTACATGAGCCTGATCATTGACTACTCCAACCCACTCCCTCTCCCCACCCACACTCCTGTGCCAAAGGCCTGGATGCACTTTGGCAACCAGTTCACCATGGTTCTTGGTGGTCTCATTGACCACAGCCATGGCAAACACCTCTTTCTACACCCTCAGC